CGTGACCTCTGCCATTGTGGCCCTATTAGAGGTGCAATTTCAGAGCTGCCAGCCCCTCTGGGTGTTGATGGTTCGCAAAGCCAGGGACTATGTGTCCTCGCGAGTCAGCGAGTCGGATAGCAATGCCATAATGTTGGAAGCAAATAATAGAGTGGCGTGTATCGGGCCTGTGATGAAGGACGTGGAGAATGCAAAGAATGCAAGGGTAGCTACGGTGGAACTTGAGTGTGCGCCTATTCATTAGGGTAGCGGAGTGTGGTGTCGGCTTCCTAGCTTGTTTGTAATGTTTGATGATGTTATGACGGATATTTCACAATGGATGTTCCACGAGGTTTGCTTTGGAAATTGAATATAGAAGACTGGATAGGATACTTTCGCTACGACGACAAATTGACAACTTCTTCATTTCGCTGATGACTGAAATGCTAAACAAGGATCTCCCCATCAACTATATCAGTATATAAAGAAATATCATTGCTTCAGTACTCCAATATCTGCGCATCAGTCGCTACGCTACCAACAGCAAACCTATCCCAAAGCTCTTCCAAGTCCACCCGCACCGCCGCTGCCGCCGCAAACCCCGCGCCTATCCTGCCCACGAGCCCCGCCACCCACTCCCTCTGCCACGCCTCGCGCGACCTGGCGCCCGCTATCCTGAGCGGGAACAGGAACAGCAGGGGCGAGAGGCTGGTTGTGTCGAGGGCGAGGGTCGTTAGCCGCAGGATGGTGTTTGTGTGCGTCTCGAGTGTGGATTCGTCAAGGGTAGAGGGGAGGAGGTTGAGGCGGGTCCAGTGGGTGATGCCGTAGTCGAAGGCGCCGGAGAGGTAGATGCTCGTTGAGGCGAAGAAGATGCGTGATAGGATCATGCTGTCGTCTTCTTCTTCTTGTATGTTGGGTGTAGGTGTAGGTGAAGGTGTGGTGGTGGCGGTGGTGATTGACTCGGGGGAATGGTTTGGTGCTGCGTAGGAAGTGTACCAGCTATCTAGAGCTTCGCGGAGGACATAGCTGTCCGCGCATATGGAGCAAGCTTCCAGGGATGGCTGGCCGTCTACACCCAACGCAACGATTTCATCCTGCCTTTGTCTAAAAGTTAGAAACCACATGATTCCGACGAAACTTTGACCAAAAAAGGTTTTCACTTTACCGAATTCGCAAAACGGAGCACATCCTAGAGCACATGACCATGATATCGAGCAACGAATCCAAGGGCCGCCATTCGTCCGCCTCCTCGTCGCTCCACATCTCCCTCGAGAGGTCCATCCACTCTGGTTGGGTGAGGAAAGAGGACTCGTTGAATAGGATGGTGCGCGATACCTCAAAGACCCTGGCTTGGGTGAAGAATGTGCGGTTTGGGCCTGAGCGGCAGCTTGTTGGGCCGCTGGCTTCGAGGGCCTTGGCTGTGCCGTGGATCATGTGTTGGCCCCATCCGTAGCCGGTGGCTTCGTTCATGAGCTGGATTAAAGGAATTAGTTACACGGCACTTTTTGACCATGATTATGATGATGGTGGTGATGACGATGGTGATGGTGGTGATGATATCGAGAGCTGGGGTTACTTACCTCAAAGAGACCAAGAAAGAGTGTGGTCCACAGCACGGTATCAAGCCCACTCTGCCGACCTCCCCCTGAACATTAATCGCATCCCGTAAGCCAACGATGGAGCTGGCATAGTACTCCAAGCTCAAAGTCAGTCCCTGCCTGACAAACGGGACATCTGAGGCCTTTAGTTTGATGGCCTGTAGCGCACCGAGAGCGAGCATAGCGTCCATCAGATAGTGCCCAGAGTGAAGGCCAGCTAGCTCCTTTACCTCATCACTCAGCATCCTCTTCTTGCCGTTGAAATTGTTGGCCTGCGCGAATACATCGAAATAGTACAGGTAGCATAGTCTATCATCTATAAGTCGGGACAAAGACAGTGGTGGTGGTGTAATAGCCGTCTCAGTGATGGCGCTAGAAGTTGTCTTGAGCTTTTTCTTGTCCGACCAGTTTGCTACCGTCTTTTGCTTGCCTCTCTCGACAAGGATGATGGCTTTGGTCTTTCTAGTCTGTCCGAATGTGCATGTAATATGGCGACGCTCGCAGTTGGTGCATGGTGCTTGGCCAGAACACTACGAGTATATGAGACAGTGTCCCATGCCCCCTCTCCCCCTCTCCCTGGATGGCATACCCAATGACAGGGTTTGGGATCGGAGATTTTCTTTGGTAATAACTTGGAAGACGTACCTTTAAGTGACTAGTTGAACATGCTTGACAGCGAGATCGCTTCTTTCGGCCGTCAAATGGTCCTACCAACATGGTTCCAGCTGAGACGTTGGATGTGTATGTTGTTTAATAACGTCATGCATAGAGTCAAGGTATTTGCCCCCTAGAATGCGTTGCCTTGGCTTCTAGTGATGTTCCCTGCTATTCTCCCCCAATGCGGTAGTCATGCAGCGAGCGAGCGAGCGAAGAGCGCACCACACAATAAATAGTCGCAAGTGCACGTAGTAAACGCCCTCGCACCTTGGCAGTGTCTGTCGTCTGCTAGAGGATTAATCCCAAAAGAAACTCCTTGTTGTTCGCTGACATTTCTTCTTTTTTTTTTGTCCCCTTATCCGAGATTGATATGAAAAAAAATTTGTTCGAATCTATTTTATCAGAGGCAAGAAAAGAAGGAAGTTTAGAAATGGATTGTGTTGGGTAGGTATTAATTAAAAATGGAGTCATGTCATGGAGGTGGAGGAGAGTCGATGGGTGAACAGCCTCAAAGTACCTGTACGTGCTGACATTGCTACCCTGCACCTCTTACAGTACAAGTCTGGGCACGAAGGAAGCTTGGCAGGGCTGCTCCGCTACGAGTATTATCTGATGCATTCAAAATTTGGCTCCCATGAGATTATTTGACTGTATATTCTCATCAGCTATACGATTAAAACATGATCTCGTTTCTGGTGTAATGAGATGCTAGCCTATTGTGCACATAGTTAGGATATGATCGCATACAATGTGCTTTGATCATCACCAAGATTTGCATGTAAGTCAGTATTTGAGCCTTTGTAAACGATATTGACCAGGGTAAATATCAAGGGTTTAGGCATCATCTTACCTCTGCGTCCAAGTCTAATCTCGCCCAAGAGCTGAAATGCAATGCATGAGTCTAGAAGCATCCCCCCTGGGTCCTCCGACTGGGGCAACAAACACTCCACTCCATGACGCTGCCCCCCATGTCCCAAATAGGCAATCATCTCGCGACGCTATAACCCATCCAGTCAAACGAGGATCCTCCCCGATACCAAGAACGGAAGTGAAGCTGCGATTTTGCATTTCGTGCTCTTACCTTTGGTCTACGCGTGTATATGTATATGTGTGCGTGTAGGCGTAAAATGAGATGAGAGAAAATACGCGTCCTTGATACTGGGGGTGATATCAGCATAGCCTCTCGTGGTATTGTGCTCGAAATGGGAATGGCTTCAAGTAAACGGCTGGTGAGCCGAGTGATGATTTTGTTGTATATATTCCCCCTCAACTCAATACCATGCTTCAATATTCGCTTCAATCATCACCACCAACAACAACAATAGAAAAATCTCCATCAGAGCTTCTACTTTTCCATTCCTTCTCACATATACATCCCCCTTCAGTCATACTCAATCGACCTTGAACATCCAACACACGCCATGCGTCTCCTTACTTCAATCCGCCTCTTCTCTGCAGTTGCGACAGCAGTGCTCGTCCCAGGACCTTTCGGACCATACGATGTCGCCGTCAAGATCCAGCCTCTCACCGACACCAGCCGTCCAGACCCCTTTGATCCCACCGGCCAGTCCAAGTCAAGACGTCTCCTGGTATCCGTCTTCCTGCCCATCGAAAAGCAGAGACGCTCATGCCCGCCCACCACGGTCCCGTATATGACGCCCCCCGTAGCCGCCTCTTACGGGGAGCAGGCTAACCAGGTGGTCGGCCTGCCGGCTACCTTTTACAACCAGTTCGAGATGCAGTTTTGCGACCTCTCCAAGCTCCCCTCGTGCGCAAAGACGGGAAAGCAGAAGAAGAAGTACCCGTTGATTCTGTTTGGCCCCGGATTGGCCGAGTCGAGGCTCATCTACAACGCCATGGCGAGGTCGCTGGCGAGCCAGGGCTATGTCGTCGTCAGCGTTGATCACCCGTTTGAAGCCCCGGCTATTCAGTTCCCAGACGGGAGCATCATCGAGGGAATCGATATTGACTCTGACTCGGAAAGTGTTCTGGAAAAGGTCCTTTCGGTAAGAGAGTACAATTCCTCCTCAACATCGATAAATTACTGCCTTTACTTATCATCTTTTTCTCGTAGGTCCGCACCACAGACATGTCCTTCATCATCGACCAGCTCAGCAACAAAACCATCACAGACCCTCTTCTCGCAGACTTCCCAGGCACCCTCGACCTGAAGCAGCTCGCCATGTGGGGCCATTCCTTTGGCGGAGCGACATCCGCCTCGCTGCTGCACTCCGACGAGCGGCTCGTCGGCGGCCTCGACCTAGACGGCATGCTGGTCAACCCCATCCTCAGCACCGACATCACCAAACCCTTCGTCCTGGCCGGTCAACTCGCCCACGACGCCGGGGACCCAACGTGGGGCCAGTTCTGGCCACACCTCAAGGGCAAGAGCATGCAGATCGGCATCGACCACACCCTGCACGGCTCCTTCAAGGACATTCTCCTGCTCGCCTCCGTCCTCGACCTCACAGACGAGACCCGACAGGCCATCCAACAGGCCGTGGGCAGCATCGACCCTTACCAGCTGGACAAGGACCTCAACGGTATCCTAAACGCCTTCTTCAAGCTCATCTTCAACGGCCAACCCGCACCGCTGCAAAATCTACCCCAAAACTTTGCCAACGTTAGTATCGTGCGCCGCAACAACTTGTAAAAAGAAAAAGAAAAAAGAGTTGGTTGGTTGGTTGTTAGAGAGAAGTGGGTGATGCCCTTCTTAAGGTAGTTGTGACCAGCAAATTTGCAACAACTCAGCTAAGGGTGTTACAAGGACCGGTAGCTCAGTGGTAGAGTGTGAGATTGCAATCTTCTACTGCAGATATCTCCAGGTCGCGATTTCGATTATCGCCTGGTCCTATCCCTTGAATTTTTTTATTTTCTCGCGTCCGGGCTATCGATAATGGCTTTTATTTTATTTCTTTTTGCAAACTTGTTTTGGTATTAATTAGTTAGCTATTATAGAGAATTTTATAAAATGTCAATAAATAGCCTATATCTTAAACTATCGTGATATATGGTTCCAGCTGAAAACGTGTGGATTAAGTTTGAACACCGTGGCAACACCAACAACACCAAGAATACTCTCTATATGTAAACCCAACTATGATATTCCAAAATTCTATCCATCCTCAACATAATTACCCGAATGATTCAGATTATTCCCCCCAACGTATTCAAGCTCGCGCCCCCAAACTGGCTCCTCTGTCCCAGCTCCACCCCTAAACGCTGCATACTCACCGCATGCAACCTCACCTCATCAGAATAGGCATCCCTCGTCAAATGCCCATCGCCATCGAACACGCCGCGAACGTTTGGCAGCATGAGCGCATGGTGGGCCGCCTGCCCCGTTGAGCCAGCCGTGTGCGGCCGAAACCCAGCTACTGCGTCTCCCACCATGACGGCTCCATCGTTCTCCAAATACCACGCTGGGCCATCCGCTGGCGGAGGAAGATCGGTGATGGCCTGAGCGAATGGCCTTTCGGTCCTTTCCACCAACTCCGCAAACTGTGGGGGCAATAGCATGCGCGCACGTCTCCTCTGCCTGCCCCAAACCTGCGGATCCATGTCGTCTCCAGGCGGAAGCGTGAACCTGTGCAGCTTCCCCCGACGGTCCGTGAATATCCATCTGAACTCGTCCGAGCCCTGCTCGACGTTCCAGTACCACACCCAGTTCACCAACCGCTCCCCTTCCCTCGTACTGCCGTTCCGTCCAGGAATCAGATACGCCAGGATCTGGATGTGCGCGGCGTGGTAAAAGACAAACTTTTCGCGAAAAGTAGCCAGGGAGAATGAGCTGAGCATGCTCTCGCTGACGGTTCCGCGGAAGGCGACGTATCCTGCGTATGTTCTGGTGGCCGATGAAGGGGTTAGAATAGCCCGCATTGTGGACGAAGATCCATCGGCAATGATGACGTTGTCGGCGATGAGTAGCTTAGTCAGTGTTTCTGCTTCCTCACCGGACAGGTTGGATTTCCATGATATCTCGACTCCCGATCCCGTATCTCTTACGCCCGTTACCAACACGCCATGGTGATACGCCGCATCGCCCCGTACAGCACCCTCCAACACACCTTCAGGAATCTCGCGCACGTAGTCGCTCCTCAAGCCATCAAAATTCGCTCTCAAAACATGATACAACAAATCCCAGCTCGTCATCTGTTGCACGCTCGCTTTTCTGCTAATAACGTTTCCAGCCCGGTCCAGATACAATCGCTCGCGCGACGTCACCGAGACGATAGTATTAGTGCGGTCATACAGATCAAAGAAGGCTCGAGTGTAGTCGCCGAAAACAATGCCAGCTCCTTGATCGTGTAAAAGTGGTGTTTGCGAACGCTCTAAAATGTGAACGCGGTGGCCGAGGCGTCGCAAGGCGATGGAGGACATGAGACCACCTAGAGATCCGCCAATCTTGATGGGCCATGCAGTCAGTATTAAAGATGCAGAGCTGGACTAGACTGTCAAATTATAGATACCAATGCCTACCGTTATGATACTCTTCCGAGGCTTGAGTGTCTCCATTGCTGTTTCGAATCCTGAAAGCTGATGCAATTGTCAAGTCTTCCTTGCCCATCAAGGCAGAGCCTGAAATATAATCCAAAAAATATTGCTAAATCTAATCTTATCAGTCATATCCTCATATTCTCATAAAACCTTAAAACCCTTATACTTACCGACTCCCGCATCTGGAACACGGCACGTACTGTGACAAATTCCTATATAATAATGATTAGTTAACATGAATCGCTTATGAAGCAAGAGTTATTACTATAATATAAGCATTATATAGCTTATAATAGAAGCATTTATACCGGATGCCGGTTTCAGAAAGAGTCATGAAGGTTTCAAACTCTTGTCCAATCGGCAGATTGATGGTGGGATGGGGAATGGGGGATGAGAACGACACAGTGCGGGGCAGTCCGAAGCATCGGATCCGAATCAGGTGGAGTTACAACTTCTCCTTTTGGCGAGGCTTCAATTGGAATCATGCAACGATGGCAGTCTGACCGTGACCGATAGTATGGAAAGTAATCGATGTCTTATATATATATATCTGCTTTCTGTATTTGATCTTGTAAATACTTGTGTTGACTTGCTATGTATTGTACTTGTATGTATTATAGTAATATGTAAACGGAAATGATGATTTCAAAGCGTCTTCACTCACAACCCCAGGCCGAAACAGTTGGCATAATATGTCACCGTGGCGCTCCAATCGGAAAACATACCAACAACGCCGACTTGGCGATGGAGCGCATCGACCAACGTATAAATATCGCCATCCTTCTTGACAATGTCCTGAATCGTGGAGTAGTAGTAATCGCCATCCTTGTGGATTTTCGTCATGGGAGGCGAGCGCTCCAAACTCCAGGTGATGATCTTGAGACCCAACTCCTTTGCCCGCTTAGCATATTCGCTCGGTACGATCTTGCCCTTCTCGGAAGCGACCAAATAAGCCAGTGGCGGTGCGACAATCTGGACACCATCATTTTGATATCGGGTGAGGTTCTTGATGGCTGCAGGCATCGCTCCGGCAGCATCGCCGCTCTCATCCAGCAAGATGGCCTGTTTGGCAAATTGAGGCTCGTGCTTAAGCCAGTAGAGGATATCATCATAGAGGAAACTCTGGGTCCAAACGCGGGACGCGGGGATGCCAGCCTCCTTGAATGTGTCAATAATCTGCTGGGCGTATATTTCCTGTGTGTAGTTTCCCTCATAAGGCATCTTGACCTGTGGGGTTTTGAGCTCTGGTGTGAACTGGAGGCCGAGTGCCTTTGTCATTTCAATGTGCTCCTTGAGAGACATTGTAGTGCCGCAAGTGGCATAAAGGTCAGTCCTCCAGTTTGGCGTTCCGTTCAGATAGTCCTGGACGTTGGTGGCATTGGCATTGAAACCATCCATCTTGGCACAAAGTGACTTGAACTCGGCAAGGGTAATGTCGCTCGTACAGCACTTGGCGACGGCAGGCTTGCCACCAGCGGCTGGTTGAAACGGAGTCGTGCACTTTGCGTTTAGCTCCGGAATAGCAACAATGTTGGTTGTCGTATGCAAGTCGCACTGGCTGTGTCGGCAAACGAGTTCGCGATCCTTTGTAAAAGCAACATCGCATTCGAGGACTCCGGCTCCCATACGCGCTCCTGCCATATTAGACTCCTTGGAGTGCTCGGGGAATTGAAGAGGACCGCCGCCACGGTGGGCAAAGGACCAAGCTGTCGACTTCATCGGCATTTCCTTGCACGACGATAACTTATCCTTGAGGGGACCTTCATCCATATTATCAACGAGATAGTATGGCCTTGGTCCAAGCTGGATCTGCTTGATAGGCTTGAGACCACCAGCTGGATGATAAGGGACGGCTGAAACCTGGCCAACAGCGGCAAGGCCGGCTGCCAAGAGAGCAGAGTTGACGTGCATGTTGTCTCGATTGGTTTATATATATATATATATATATATATATTAAGTAGACGAGAAGAGTCTGATTAGGGCGGTCGGATGTCCTTGATGTTAGTCACAACGTTCAACAGGAAAAGATCCACGCAAGGCTAAACCAGAACACGACGAAATCGCAAAGCGGGTCGAGCAGAAGCTGCTAAGTAAGAAGCAATAATCCGTGGGTATATGGACAGCTTTTATAATCTCCATCATATCAGCAGCCGGGCACTAATCTCCCCGATCAACCGGTGGCACACACTATTCTGGGGTGGAGGGCACGATGGAGGGTACCCTTGGCCCTGTCGCGATGCTTGCCGAGAAGCTCTTAAACATGCTTATTCGACACTAACTTGAAGAGGCGGGTATTTGAAGCTTGAAACTCGGAAGGATTGGACCTGCACGGGGAATAAGTACCTGACATGACTGAAAAACGGTCTTCTTTTTGCAAGGTTCAGATTTGTTGTGATTGAAACTCTCATTAAGCAGCTGAAGCGATTTTGAGACGATTTTGAGACAAATGTCTCTGGCACGATCCCAAGCTGCTTTGGCCTTCCCGACTTGGTTGGCTCTCTTGTTCCATTACCGATCGTACGTTGGCTGGCCCTCGATCTAGAAGTTGAGCCGGGTAGAGCCGCCTTTGCATGGCAATGGCCCTGGCCTCAAAGGATCATCCTGCAGAAATATTTTCATGGCATTGCCTTCATTGCCGTGCGGTATACGAGCGAATTTGTGACCGAAGTTCGACTGATGAGTGGAATCAAAAGTTCTAGGCCCGAACTAAATCAATATCCTCGGAGTTTTGGCCGAGATAATTTAGTAAATGTCCGTCCAGAGAAGAAATGGGAATAGTGGGCGTGGCGCAATTAGCGATTATGATTCGTTGGGCTTAAACTGGGGCTTCCCGCAGACTGCACATCAGGACGGATAGCTTATCTTGGCTTCACCGAAACGATGCCGACAACTCGAGGCCAACGTCTTCTGCATATGTGTCATATAGACACTGCATGAACGACGGGAAATATAAGGACCCTTGGCCATGGTTCCGATTCGGCACAAGCACAGGCCCTTTCATAATCACTCACGTTGTCTTGCTGATAGGAGGAGGCAGAGAACCTCCGATCATCGGTTGGTGATGGTGAGTGAGCACATGCAGTGGGGCAAGCAAAACACGGTTGTAGGAGAAATGTGCATAGGATGGCTATCGCATAGATACGAGCCGGATTTGCCCCTCTGAACAAAAAATGGGCATCTCGAGCGTGGAGCCATGATGACTTTTGGGTCGTCAGCATCTTCTCATTAGGTAATTCGATCCTTCTGACTGCCGGGTGAGCACACTGTTTGGGAACCGAGGTATTGCAGCACCTTGCCATTATAACTCATCCCTGACATCGTCACCCAGGGCTCTCAGACCGTTCAATTTGCGCACA